GGAGCGGAGCGGAGCGGAACGGCCGCGTGTGGGGCGGCACGGAGCTGCGGGGCGTGGAGCGGCTCGGAACAGCACGGCTCCATATGGGATGGAGCGGCTCGGCACGGCTCCGTATGGGATGGCTCAGCTCAGCTCGGCATGGATCGGCTCAGCTCGGCACAGTCATGGAAAGGCTCAGATCGGCACAGTTGTGGAATAGCTCGGCTTGGCATAGCACAGCTCAGCACAGAATGGCTCAGCTTGGCATGGAATGGTTCAGCTTGGCACAGCTCAGCATGGCGTGGCACAGCCTGGCACGGCTCAGCCTGGCGCAGTTATGGAGTGGCTCAGCTTGGCATAGCACAGAGCAGCGTGGCATGGCTCAGCTCAGCTCGGATCGGCTCGGCACAGCTCAGTGTGGAATGGCCCAGCTCAGCACAGCACAGCTCAGCATGGAATGGCTCAGACTGGCTCGGCTCAGCTCAGCATGGAATGGCTCAGACTGGCTCAGCATGGCACAGCTCAGCTCAGCTCAGCATGGCACAGCTCAGCATGGAATGGCTCAGTTTGCTCAGCACAGCTCAGCTAAGCATGGAGTGGCTCAGTTTGGCTCAGCATGGCTCAGCTCAGTATGGCATGGCACAGCTCAGCATGGAATGGCTCAGTTTGGCTCAGCTCAGCTCAGCATGGCACAGCTCAGCATGGAATGGCTCAGCTTGGTTCAGCATGGCTCAGCTCAGCTCAGTATGGCATGGCACGGCTCAGCACAGCACAGCTCAGCATGGAATGGCTCAGTTTGGCTCAGCATGGCTCAGACTGGCTCAGCATGGCACAGCTCAGCATGGCTCAGCTCAGTATGGCATGGCATTGCATAGCTTAGCACAGCTCAGTATGGCATGGCACAGCTCAGCATGGCACAGCTCAGTTTGGCTCAGCATGGCTCAGCTCAGCATGGAACGGCTCAGTTTGGCTCAGCATGGCTCAGCTCAGCACGGCACAGCACGGCTCAGCACCGTTCAGCACAGCCCACGTTGGCCTGGTCCAGCCAGGTTCAGCCTGGTCCGTGCTGGCCCGTTCAGACACGTGGTTTAACGCAGCACAGCTCCGCACGGCACCCTTTGGCACAGCTTTAGCATGTGTGCCTGTAGGACGTAGGTTGGGACCCATGGGGACCTGAGGTGTGACCCACAGGGAACCACTGGGCTGTAGGATGTGACCCACGGGGACCCATGGGGCGTAGGATGTGACCCATGGAGACCCATAGAGTGTGACCCATTGGGCTGCAGGATGTGACCCATGGGAACCCACAGGTTGTGAGCCATTGGGGTGTAGGATGTGACCCGTGGAGATCCATAGGGCTGTAGGATGTGACCCATGGGGACCCATTGGACTGTAGGATGTGCCCCATGGGGACCCATAGGATGTGACCCACGGGGACCCATAGAGCTGTGACCCATTGGGTGTAGGATATGACCCATGGAGACCCATTGGGGTGTGGCATGTGACCCATGGAGACCGATAGGGCTGTAGGATGTGATCCATGGGGACCCATAGGGCTGTAGGATGTGATCCATGGGGACCCATAGGGCTGCAGGATGTGACCCATGGGGACCCATAGGGCTGCAGGATGTGACCCATGGAGACCCATAGGGCTGTAGGATGTGATCCATGGGGACCCATAGGGCTGCAGGATGTGACCCATGGAGACCCATTGGGGTGTGGGATGTGACCCACAGAGACCCATAGGGTGTGACCCATAGGGCTGTAGGATGTGACCCATGAAGACCCATAGGGCTGTAGGATGTGACCCATGGAGACACATAGGGCTGTAGGATGTGCCCCATGGTGACCTATAGGGTGTGACCCATACGGCTGTAGGATGTGAGCCATGGAGACCCATAGGGCTGCAGGATGTGACCCATGGTGACCTATAGGGTGTGACCCATAGGGCTGTAAGATGTGACCCATGGTGACCCATAGGGCTGTAGGATGTGCCCCACGGAGACCCATAGGGCTGTAGGATGTGCCCCATGGTGACCTATAGGGTGTGACCTATAGGGGGTGACCCATAGGGCTGTAAGATGTGACCCACGGAGACCCATAGGGCTGCAGGATGTGACCCATGGTGACCTATAGGGGGTGACCCTTGGTTCCCCACGGCTGTGTAATCCCACAGGGCCACAGGCCGCAGCGATGGGGCCACAATGTTCCCACATGGGCTGTGAGCCCCTCATTGCTGACCGGGAGGCCCAAGAAGCCCCCACGGCACCAAGCAGGCACCCCCAGACCCCCACAGAGCCCCAGCTTTTATTCCCCGTATCACAGCAGCACCGGGACCCCCTGACCCTCATCCCCACGGCGCGACCCCCAGCAGGGCGAGGGCCAGGAGAGCCAGCAGGACGAAGGGCGCGGGTCGGGGCTTGGCAACGGAGCCCAGGGCGTAGAACCTCGCCACGGCTTCGTTGGGGTTGCCTTCGACGGGGTCGAACCACATCTGGATGCATCGCCCGCTGCCGCGCCGCTCCGTGGTGTATTTGTACGAATGGGACCAAACCTTTTCGCACAGGTCGGCCGGAGTCGGGAAGACGTACTTGAACTTCTGGCACATGGCGCCGTGCGGGCATTGGTTGGTGCCTGCAGGGGGGGGGGAGCGTGCAGGAGGGTGGGTTTTGGGGGTTTGGGGGGGGCAGAGCCGTGCATGGGGTCGGGGCTTTTTTGGGGTACCTGTGGTCCAATTCCAGCCCTTGTGCCAGTTGACTTTGCAGGTGGCCGAATCCTGGCAGTCCTCCCACCACTGCTCGCAGTCCTCGCGGCACAGCGGCACGTTGAGGATGCGCTCGCGGCGCCAGCTCGAATCCGTCTGCAAGGTGTGGGGAGATGTGGGGTGGAACGGCCCCCAAAAAATGGCCTGCAGACGGGGCGGCCAGCCTGCGATCCGACCCCGAAACCAAGCCGCCAAACCGGCCCCCGAAATCCAACCCCCCAAACACCAAAATCCAACCCCGAAGCCGAGCTGCCCATGGAACGGCTCCGAATCTCATCCCCAAAACCCACATCCTGCAAACTCGCCTCAAATCCGACCCCAAAGCGCCCCCCCTAAAGCCCCTTCACCCCAAAGCCCTTCCACAAACCCACGCCTTC